GATGGTGGCTTTGGCACTATGGGATGAAATTCTGCGTTCACCCATTGCTATGCCACCTCTCCTCAAAAGCAAACGGATCCACTCCGCAACTTCCTTAGTGGTAAGGGGCCTTTTGGTGGCCTCCCCTGCAGCGTTCGGTGCTGGCATGATGGGAAAATCCTCATGCAAAGGTGCCTGCAACATGTTTCTAACTACCAGCCAGTTCTGCGCCCAGTTCTCTGCCGACGCACCAATGGCTGGGGCCACTGCTGTAAGCAAACCACCCCTCCAAGCATTTGCATACTTTGTCTTGTACTCTGAAATGGATAACTCCACAAACTCAGGACAATGAGGGTGTGGATCTGCTGTCATTTCATTCGAGTGCTGAAAATCTGACCACCTCGACCTTGTATAAACACATCCCAGGAAAGCGCCAGCCATGTTACGATCCCAAACATCTGCATCAGGTGAAGCAAGGATGTCATGAAGTACCCGCAGCTCTGCAACTGTCAGCGGTGCTGCCTGACGGTTTGGCCCAGCTGTTGTCTGCTTTGCCGCACCTAAGCAGCGCTTGGACAGCAGGTCTGTCAAACCATTGAGGCCTAACACATGCTCCATGAACCTGATGGACTCAATCACAGCTGCAAGTCTCGACTGAGGTGCGCCTTCAGACCTTTGCTCCTTGAGAAAAGCATACAAGTCTGACTCAACCCCAGGCGCTGTCATCCCGTGATTGCGCAGAAATGTCATGTACCGTGTAATGGAGTTCACTCGTTTCAACAAGGTCAAAGGTGATCTGCCACTCAAAACATCTCTCATCATGGACATTTGCTCACCCAAGGTGGGTAATTCAGCCAGTTGAGCCACCAAGATAAATGACGTTGGAAACATGATCACCACGTCATACCAGCGTTTCAAAGCCACGTCCAGCTTGGCTTCATGAAGCTCCTGCCATGACGCCACATCCGAGGCCATGACCACTTGTTGCCAGGCCTGAGGTTCAGCTGCAATGCGCCTGCTTTTCAAAGCCGGGTGTTGCACTGGCAAGACATCTGGCAGAGGAGCCACTGCAGGTCTACTCAAAACAGGCATTGTCAAGCTACTTGAACGCTCTGACACATCAAAAATATGTTTCCACACGCCCGTTTCCCAAGGCATCGTCCACTGTGGCGCCGGCTCCAAAGATTGCCATGCTCTGTCCAATGCATTTTGAAAATCACCGGAAGTGAAAACATGCAAACCGTCCAACACTGAACCAGCAAAGTTTACTGCCGTAACATCCCAGTCGTCCAATTGGTCCCCCACTGTTTCAGATGGATCAACCCTGGCGTCATCAAAAAAGGGTTCAGACTGTTCACCACCATATGGGTATCCAACATCAAAACCTGACCCCGCAAAATCTCCCATAGGAAAAAGGTCAGGATTCGTATCTGTGGCCTCAGTCATTTTCTGCCCGTTGAGAAGACACGCTGGGAGTGTCCACCTGTGTCCAGGAACCTGTAATGATACGAATGGCAGGCGCAGCGTTACCCAAATGAAAAATATCTGGATTCCTAGCACCAGGCGTGTACAAATACGACAGGATGCTGTGTTGCAACAAAACTGCAGAACCACCACCTGCAAGAATGTAACTGCAAGATGTAGAATCAGATTGCAATGGTCGATGTGGCACCAGCGGCCTAAACACAGGAAGCCGAGGTTGTGACCTGTGTTGCATAAAAGACGATCTCCTAAAGAGTCCAAATCCAGGCGAAGAAAATCACAAATGCAGTGCCAAAACCTGAAATCACTGACAAAATGCACAGCCGATACGGAAATGGAACAGGTACCACTGGTTGAAAAACCACAGGAGACCGAAGCAACGCTTGGCCACGCGCCACTGCTTTGCCCATTGCCAACGCTGCCCTCTTAAAAAGGGTGGAATTCCCACCCACTCTCCCTTGAAACGGAAAACATCAAACGAATGAAAAATCACACATGTGAACATGAAGTATCATCGATGTTTCCAGTTAAACAGGGAGACAACCAACAAACTGTTTACTGTTTGTGTTTGTTTGTTGTTTGGTGGTTTCAGAGATTTTTTTTTTGGTCTTGTTAATTTGTCCCACTGGGACAAATTTTTGTTGTCGTGAAAATAAGGCATTCATCTTTGATTCTCAAAGAGGTGTTGCAAATTGTTGAGTCATCTCACAAGCTGTCCTCTTTCAGGAAAAAAACTGCCCAAAGTAAAAAATCCTTTGTATTGCAGATTCCCTTTCACAAAGTATGCCGCTACCAGCTCAAACTCAAAAATCAGCGCAGCTCTCTCATCCAACTCAGTCGATTGAAATTGCAACAGCTAAAACCTTGTCCAGTCCAACCATTGCTGCAATTAACCAACAAGCGAGTCTGTCGGGTGCACGTGTTGATTGATGCAGATAGGCCCCCGGCAAACTCAACCAACCCAGGGTCGTGTATGCCGCTGATCCTCACCAAAACTTCAGCCACACATATATTATAGTTTGGAGATCAATGAAGGCCATATTGGCTTGTGGGATAATGCTCAAGAATTTGTTTGGGAGTAGGTACAAGAAACAAAGGAGACCAGTTCAATCCGAACATGATTAACAATTACGTGAAAAGTTCCTGGAGCCGAAACTGATAAGCTTCAAAGCATCTCACACTTCAGTCGTATGTGTATTCAACCGATTGAACTACAGTGATTACCAATACCAACCTTTCTGTCCAGTATATCACTGTTTTATATCTGTGCCATGACGGTGCCTAGTATGCAATACATGTTCCGCCCAAGCAGTTGAGGCAGCGGTCACAAATACTTAAAGACATGTAAATGCTCTTGTGGGTCTGATGTTGGATGTTTCCCGATATGCCAGGTAATCTTCCCTATCATCGTCCCTGAGGATGGCAAGTGCAAGCATCACGTGTGGGCGCCCCCCACACAAGTACGCAGGACTGAGATCTAGCCCTTGGCCTAATAGGTTGCAAAGGGTGGTCGGGTTCTTTAATTGTATCGCTCCAATCAGCGATTCATACTGTCGCACTGAGGGCGGGTGTACTTGTCTAAGTACGAAGGTGAGCTCACAAATCCCATTGACGATGTACATCTCCAGTGTCTGAAAGGGAGCAATCTTTTCACCATTAGCACACAGGATCGCGTGGAACGGTGTGGCGATCTTGAGGAGGGATGCTAGCTGCACTGTGATTTCCCAGCCCGTTAGCATGGTTTCCTCGCTTCCGGAGGCGGAAAGCAGCTGCTCCCCAGTAAGGCCGTGTCTCAATGCTATTTCCATGGCTGGTAATCGGAAGATATACTACTGCAATCTACCAGTAGTTACCTGCAGGACAGAAAACTCAGGGGTAAAGGTGAAAGATTGTAGGGAGGATCGGATGGAACACCTCGAGGAAAAGATGCTATTGCAAGGCACCTCCTAGCTAGAGTGGAAGGGGGAGGGCAGGGCGGAGATCGAAAGGGCAAATGTTGGGTGCACCTAGGGAATAAAAAGAAGACACGCGACTTCGTTACATAAGTTGTTCCTAAAATCGGGATGCACTTGCCTGAAGCTTGAACCAGACAGGAGCATGGGTGCAGATTGTATGTACCATGAAGTTTGTGCTGAGTTGCACCCTTGACTGACATGTGGGCTACAATCTTGAAATATAATGTCACAAGCCAATATAGCCGAGGTGAGGATAACTGCTCAAACAACATGACCGCACATCCCAAAGATGAATCACAACGTTTTTTCCTTTGTAGCAGTCTGTCAAGAACTGCATCTGTATTCCCTTGTCTTCGCAAGGGGGCTGTTTGTCCTGGCTCTTGTGCGTATCGATATCTTACCTCACTGCCCGGGTTCTTTGCTATGCTCCTCTGCAAAGTCCTGGTCTGCAGCACGTCTTTCCGGCTGTTGGTCCTTCACTGCTTCAGAGGCTGTTGCCCCTCGGGACTCATCATGGTCTTCGTCTTGATGCATTTGAGACGACCCGATGGCTCAGTTGGTATGACGTTGGTCTTGCCAGCGCTGACAGACTGCCGGTGGTGGTTCGAATCCCTGCTGGTCCACTCAGGAGTCTCAAGTGCGACCCGCCGAAAGGCAACGGGCGCCGACCACAAAAAAACTTCGTCTTGATGCATTTGCTCAGGTTCTCAACTACCGTCTCCATCTGCATGGTCGCTTCCATGATGACGGCCAACAGGGCGTGCATATGCCAGCTGAGCCTTACGGTCAACCTTACTAGCCCGTTGGGGGCTCATGCTGGGTTGACTCAGAGGGCTGCCCGGAGTATAAGGGTGAGAGCCTGGGCTGAGGGCCCGCATTCTCCATGCAATCAAGCGGATCCACCTATCAACGTTACTCATGATAACTACAATATAAGATCCTTTTTTTTTCCGTCCAACGCCTTCATGGCTTCCGCCAGGTCGTTCAACATGTTTTATTGCATGTTGCAAATTGGGATTAATTGATTAATTATGTCATGCGTAGGCCGTCTGCGGTAGAGTGGCCTCAAAAGTGAACTGGTGTAGGACCGATACATAGTCCTGTTTGTTCACTAGTACGCCTTCCGTTGCTCAAGTTGTGGGTGACGCGAAGAGAAAAAATCTAGATACCCAAAATAAGGAAAAGAAGTAGAGAGTCCAAAAAACAGTTTTGAATTCCCAAAGACGCTATCCGCAGCATGCATCCTGTTTTACGCGTGGCGATAAATAGTCAACGGACTAAGTACATGTTATGTTATACAGCGGTATAACAAGAAGCACAAAACAGTGATAACAAATGGTTATCACAAAATTGGATCAGGGGGTTTTGGAAAGCCAAATAAAATCGAGAACATCGACCGAAAGGATCAAAACCCCCAAATGCAAATCGATGTGCAAACATGTCAAATGCCACGACTTTTGGACTCAGCGGGACAGCAAAGTGGATGGAATTCGAGCTTGACTAGGTGAAAATTTCGGTATGGCGGAGCAGAGCCATTTCCAGGGAACATCAATGCGTAGTTCAGGAGGGCAAGAAGGAAGGTGCCTACCACGACTCAACGCATCAGCATCGTCGTTCCATATACCTGGGATATGCTGGATGGTCACATCAATGTTGTGGATGCGTTGGAAACGGAAAAAAGCCGCCAATATGTGACACATGCCTGCAGAGGTTGACAAAGCTTTCAAATGCGCTGCTTCAGCCGATGTGTTGTCACAAGCAAATGTGACTGCAACGGGGGTATGGCGACCCTTCAACGAGCAATCCAAGCAATACGCTAATGAAAATTGACCCAGAAGTTCCCAAACGTTAATGTGTTTCTGCATCGAGTCAGAAACCCATGGAAAAATTGACTTTGCTTCGGAATGTGAAATTGTGAATGCAAACCAGGCCATAACCGAACCATTCATACGAATAACGCCGCCCAAACCAGCTTCATTCGCAGTTGCGCACGCATCAGCCGAGGCTTGAAGAGGTATATGGTGAGGTGGTACCATGTCATGAAGGAAAGGAGTACCAATGAGGACATCTTTCCAAGCTTGCAGGGCCTCATGCGTGTCAGGTAGCAGTTTGCGTTTGCTGGAGCCAGGTATTTGAATGCCCAGCCATATCCTGCGAGACTTGAAGTGCAATGATTTGGCGTGTTCACGATCACGCAATGTGAAATTGGCCACACGAACGACTTTCACGGACTTGCGCAGGGAAGGGTGGGTCATCGACTTCGACAGACACATATCCTCCTGCAGAATATCAAGAAGTTCAGGCCATTGATGCGGCGAAATGGAAACCAGGGTGAGAGGGACAGTCATCATCGCATGATATAGCGGTCCCAACAAAGGGCGTAGAGTCTCCCATAAAGATGAAACCCAAAGTAGTCGCCCTGTAAGTGATTCCAAAACCTTCAAATCACATCTTGATGATCGCAGCAAAGAGTCGATTTGAGCCAGGATTTTCTCGCGTTTGTCAGGAGTGATAGAAACCACCCATCGACGAACATTGATGTGCCAGCCAATCCATGTCACGGCAGGACCCCAGTCAGTTTTGTGCCAGGACATAGGGATGCCCAAAATTTGACATGCAATGGTAAGTACGCCAATCCAAATGGGAGATGTGGCCGCTTCGAGAAGCACCAGCAGATCATCAACATACTGAAAAAGGGCATGTCTGACATGTAATAGGCGATGAAAGGTGCGTACCATCAAACCTGCAACACGTGCCCAAAAATATCCACTGGCCCTGGCACCAAAGTTCAAGGTTTTGCTCTTGAACAGAACATCTTGATACCAAAAGCACAGCAAGCCTTGGTCACGGGGGTCAATTTTAATACGGCGATGGGCCTTCGAGACATCCAAAGTGAAGGCGATAAGCTCCAAAGATGAAGATGTCAATGGAGCGGCCTGCAAAACGTCAGAGATTTTGGGCAGCAGCATACGATTGGGGATGGATGTATTGTGTGTGACACCTGAAATGGTTGAGTCGACCACCAATCGTGGCGGTCTATTGTCAGCACAAACCAAGCCAAGCTTGCCGACTGCGGTATGCTCGTGCTCATGTTGAAGCTGTGCAAGGCCTCCAGGAACACGTTCAATAAAACCCGCATCGATCTCATCCTGGAGCAATTGCCAAACGACTTCAGGTTGGTCCAAGGCGCTCTTCCAGGAAGATTCACATTGCAGCAATTCCTGGTCATCAGAAACAGTTGACTGTTGTAGGGGCCACAAAGAGGAAGCTGGGATGTCATTGTTGACTCCCAGGTGTACCCCACTCCCAAGTTCATCAAGGAATGCAATATCAGGATCATTCATCTCCCGCAAAAGAAGTCGCCAGAGGTCCAATCGAAATGGTTGACCAGGAGCAACATGCAGAGCTTGATCCCAAATCCGATCAGGAACATCCACAAACTCGCGCACATCCATCAAAAAACCCTGCAGCTGCTGGTCAGATAATGGGGGATCTTTGGACCCCGTTGCAAAATGCGACAAGATATGTGAATGTAGGCCCATGCGGAGGATGCGAGAGGTCCAACGCTTGCACAAGCCTCCCAACACATCTGGGGCCTGTGGGGAATGCCACACTGCCGTACTGATAAGACCACCCCCGTCCTCAACCCGTTGGGTCAATGGTTGAGCAGTAAAGGTTGAGGGCAAACAGGAGGGCCATGCTCGCAATGTAGCCACCTTCGAATGTCTGGACAAATAGGGCAAAAAGACCTTCGCCAGAGCTTCTGCCAACTTTTTGGGATAGCAAGCTGTAAGCCGACTGTAGAATGAACCATCCGGAAGTCGAAGGCCTGCAAAATTCAAATGTGACTTGGGGTTGTGATCACAGCCCAAACCAATGGCAAGGATGTCCACTTTGTTGGAGCAAAACAGCCAGGACTTCTGCCAGTCCTCCCCGAACCTGCAAGCTGCTGCCGCGGCAAGGTAGGGGGATGTAGCCCTGACCCAAGCACTCATAAGCCCGTCCAGCCATGTCATGCTGGTCAGAGGATTTTCAATGACGACAATGCCACCCTTCGCTGCCACCAAGGTCAAGATGTGCCGTGCCCGATCATGCACTGTGGCTGATTCTTGGACTTGAAGGTCCTGTAAGGCGTGTTCGTTGGCAATCCATCTAACGCGTCCGGAGTTCGGACAAGTTTTGGGCCGTTAGGGCGAAGTGTCGCCATAGAATGTTTTGAACAGTACGGAGCCGCTAGGGCCGCTCCAATCAGTCCTGATGCTGCCAAATCCAGGACGTTTTGAAAAACCAAATCATCAAGCAAGTCACAATGCTGTCCAAAAATTAAATCCACTGGTTCAATGGAATCTGCATGCAAAGCCCTCACCGCCACTGAGACTGGAGAGGATGCGCCAGAAAAAATGTCAAGGAAATAAGCAAATGAATCATGCAAACTGTCCACAACCATAGGCTCGGAGGCTGATGCACCTGGCCAAGCTCCCAAAGAAAAATCACCAGGGGGCGGCTCCAAGTCCACAGTTGAAGAGGGCCCTTGGTCCGTTGGTCAGTGTGGAGCACCCTTATGGGACTTGGCAGGATGCTTCTGTGCACAAGGCGTTCCATCAGCCTTCGGGATGGGGCAAATGTGACGAAACCTGCACGTATCCCCACTGCCGCACTTGGAGACATTCCAACGCATACAAATGCCCTTGCCATTGTGCTTTCTGACCCAACTCTCATTCCAGTCTTTCAGTCGATCATCCTTGCGAACTGGTGGTGGAGTACCCGGCTTTTTCGGAGTGGCCTTGGGTTCCACCTTCTTCGGAGTCGTTGGAGCATGTAGAGAACGAGGTCTGGGCTGCAAGGCTGTCTGCATGTCCTGGCGACAGTAGGCAAATTCAGACATGGTGTCACTCAGGGACGAGCTGTTATCCCTCATGGCTGAAGTCACTGCCATCCAAACGGCTTTATTTGCTGCCAGAACCTCTTGCAAGTTCGGAGATCGTAATGATGAATCCACAGGTGCAGCCAGAGCCAACTCGTTAAACTTGTGGTGAAATTTCTTGATGACAATCAAATGAACCAACTGCAACATAGCCAGCGCGTTTGCAAGCAAGGTTTGAAATCGCATCAATACTGGTTCGACTGGGCCACCTGACGGGACGCTGGCTTCTGGGAAGTCCATCAGTTCCTGCTGGTTAAGCATGCGTTGAAGTAACTGGTGATCTGATCGAGGCTTCCGATTTTCCTGAAAAAGCATCTCAGCATGTTCAGAGATACGATGACGCCATGGTGTCCATGTCCAAGTGCCGGCATCCACTTGCTCTTTCAAACTGGCAAGAAACATGAAGCTGGGAGTGGATTCCGGTGTCAACAATTCACCTGGAAAGTGTTCAACAAACTTAAGCTTCAGTTCCTTATACTCCGTCAGAGACAGCTTTGGTTTGGCTGCTGTTGCAAAGTTTGGTTCACATGGGATGCCACCTTTCGCCTGGCACGCTTCGAAGCATTGGCGGATAGCTCGTCTCAAACTAGCCGCACCTGGCGATAAGAGGTCAATCTGCTCCCCTAGATCATGTGGAGTGAGCTTTTCAATCATTTCATCCACGTGTCCATCACTGGGGACTGCAAAACCAAGCAAAGCTACAGAACGGTAGCCTAAAAGATTCAAGTTGGCAACAATGGGTGCTGGAACTGCACAATCATCCAATAGCTTCTTCAAAGCAGCGGGATCGTCCAGTGCAAGCTGTGCCATGGTGAGAATCTCGCAAATGAAACAAACCAAACAGGAATAAACGGCAACTGAAAATTCCGAATGGTTGGCATGAAAGAACATGCAGACAAAATTAAAATGCTGAAAACTGTTGCGACACGCAAATGTGTCCCCTGTGCTGAGAGCCCAACACGCAAGGTCCACTGATTGAAATGTGGTGGATTGCCATCATCAATATGCAAGTGAGAAATTCGAAAAATGAATGCAATCAAGATCACAATGTGAGGCATGTCACTGCGGTGTTGGCATGCCACATGTTCCGCAGGACTGATCCTGCTCCATTAAGGCTGTCAGCGGGCAACACCTTTTTGTCGCAATGGCGAGAGCAAGTGAGGGCTCTGCATGAATGCTAAAAAATTCACAAATGCCACATATGGTGGGGGCATCTGGTGCAGCCAATGCTGTCAACATAAAAGGACTACCGGTGGGTCCTTCAGCTGCGACACCCTTGTAATGTGCACGCCCACAAGGTCATGCAAATCACGTGTGCCATCAGCGGCATGTCGGATGGTGCCCCAGACCTCGAGGTTCCCACTCCGAGCAATCTCTGCGGCAAAGTCATCGAAAAGCACAGCTGCGGCATGCAGCTCCGACTGCCATAGAGCTGCCGTCTCCGGAGAAAGGCCAGCAATGCTGTCCAACACAGCCCGTGATGGTTGTCTATAGTCCCATGAGCGATAGCAAATGCTTTCGAGTTGGGCTACTTCTGACTGAAGCCCCACAATCGTTCGAGCCAGCACGCATGCCATCTTTGGCAGCCAGGACCACGAACCATGGACTGAGAGGAGCTGACATGCACGATTCAGCGCTTCTTTCGCATTCTCGCAGCGAATCAAAGCTCCATCCCCTTTCGGGGCCAGCCAGACCATCATCAAGGCGACCGCCTGGGCAATCATGCCAGTTGTGCGGCTGTTGAATGTCAGCACAGGACTGGGAGGCATTGCGATCCAAGGGCAAAATGGAAAAATGCCAAGTCACCCTGTACGAAATGCGAGTGTCCAAAAATTGGTGAAATTTTTATAAATTGAAATTCAAGTCCATGACATGCGGAAAACAAAATGGGGTGTCACGAATCTGGAGCCAAATCAAGATGCAGTGCTCACCATGCTGAGTCAAATGGACATCAAGTGAGTTGAGCTGCATGGACATCACAGCGGTGATGACAATGAAACACATGCTGCGGCATCAGTGTTAAGTAAACATCCCACACCCAATGATGAAAAAAAACGCAAGTAAAATTCACTGCAGCAGCGGCTGTTTTCTGCGGTCAGGCAACATGTGACATGATCTTGGCACATGCCCGTCGCAGGCATAATCTGGCTCCAACCGGCAAGCAATGGGTGAATTGTAAGTCACCTGAAATTGCATTGGGGCGTGCCCCACATCCAGTTCTGTAGGCCTGCAAAGTGGTGTCTTCATAGCACCGTGCCCGGTCCAAGCTGTCACATTGGATCGACAGATGGGCAACTTTTGTAATCGGGTTCACCAAGAAAACCATTTCTTCTGGGGCCTCAGCCAGCTTCTCAGCAATGTTGGAAGGAAAATCATCTTCCATGGCTGACTCTTCGGATGCTTCAGAGTCCTCTGCATCAGATGGAGCCTGGGGATCATCAGGGTCCTTGGCACGCTCTGGCATCTGGTCAGGCACAGCTGGTTGAGGATCCACTTGAAACTGTAAAGGTTGCCAGGGAGGCAATGTGATCGCAAAATCAGGAAGGGAAGGTGACCCTCCCCGCAGCATCGGCCTAAGTGGCCTGAAGCCTTCTGCAATGCGTTGAGCAATGGTGCTCTGAAGTACCAACGCTGGTAGGGTGTCATCCCTACTATACAAGGATACAGAGCCATGAATCGAACTCCTGTGGTGGCCCTGAAGCTGACGTTGCTCCCAGGGCAATTGCAGTTGTTGGGCCCAGCAAAGCAATGTTGTTTTACAGGAGTGTGTTCCCAAAAGGTGAAAATCAGAGGGCTGAGCAGGTACCTGGTGAGCTTCATGGCACTTGCACAGCCAATAGCGCAGCAACTGCAAACCTCTGTCGCGTGGCATTGGGCGAAGGAAAATTGGCTTCAGCATGTCTGGGCCCACCTCTGTCAGCAGGAAGTCCACTTTGAATGTGGGGAAGCGCTGCTGGGTGTCATGCAATGCCTGTTGAACCACATTGAGCCACACCTGAGCCCATGCCACCTGACCGTGACGTCCCAGAAGTCCAAACACGAAACAGGCTATGGGCATACCCCTGTTTGTAGTCTTGGTGTGGGATGCCAAAGCAAACATTGCATGCTGTTGTATTGTAAGCGTCTGGGGGTCCACCCACAATGCATCCGACCAACGCAAGCTGCTCCAAATCAAGAAAAGCAAGGACCCCAACTGTAAAACATCGCATGCAGATGTTGTTTTGGCAAGTACCATCTTTTCAAGAAAAACCACAAACGACAATGGCAGAGGGGCCGACTCACGCTTCTCCCTGATGATAGCCGAGTGCAGATAGGCCTTGCACACGGATTGCTGCAGGGCCTGAAACAAGTCATCCAGTTGTGCATGTCGAGCCATCCATGTCAATCCCTTATGGTATGCAGTGGCCACACCTAAAGGTCCATGTGCATGCTCTGCCAAGAAATCGGCCAAGATCGCTGCATTCGGCTGAAATGGGCATACTGTCAACTGACGTGCAAAATCATGCCACCGTTTCCAAATGCGAAAATAAGATTGCAAAGTGGTTGGAGCAAACTTGGAGAGCACACGAAGCCTGTGTTCATCCACATGGTTGGACATGGCTGTTGATTGCACCAAACCACTAGCACATCCCATCTCCTGTAAAATGTCAAGCCACTGTTGATTGAGCGCAAGCTTAGCCTCAGACCATGCCTGTTGCATTGATGGCACAGGTCCCTGTTGTAGCTGGGTCGACAATGGGGTCCGCACCACTGGCATGTCTGAGCACATCACCCTAGAGGAAAAAGTCACTGGAGATACCGACTTCTGAGGTTGAACTGCTAGAGGAACATTGGATTCCAATGAAGCCCTTGACTTACAAACCGCATGAGGTGGTCTCCATAACGCTGCCGCATTTTGAAAAACAGGTGCAGCAAAAGAACGAGTACGTGTCTGAGGAGGCAACCATGGTGACACACTCGAAGCTCCCAACCATGTAGACCTCCTGCCAGCCGTACCCAATGGGTCTGAAGATCCTCCAGGTTGATAATTGAAATCATATGTACCCAAACCAGTCCAACGAGGTTGAAAGTCAATGTCCGGGTTAGTGTCTGAACCGAACAGGTCAACAGGTGCAATTGAGCTCATGGCATCATGTTCTGACCAAAACGTCACCTCATGAGATGCAGCATCCTGAGTAACAAGCTCAAATGACCCTGATGACGAACAAGGAATTGGCTCAGCTGCATGTGGTGTTGCAGGTGCAGTAGGAACATTTCGTCGAAACCTTTTGACCACACACACCGGTGCTTCAGCAGGAATCATGCCAATGAAACTGCACAAGAAAACCGTCTTCCAAAACATGCCACAGAAATCAAATCAGGTTGCAAAATTGGAGAAGTAACCACTCATCCCAAAACCTGTTGATCCATGGCCCAAAAGAAAAAGGAAAACGAAGGTAGAGCAGCCGTCTACCAAAACCACAACTTGACCCAAAATGGCAGCCACAAACCGGATCACCCCTGCAAAACCAAAAAACCTAGAAAACGCAAGACACAGGTTTTCAGGTTTAAGAAACGGGTTTTGCAAAACACAAGAGGCCGGTTTCATACTAGTGAACAAAACCGATCAAGCTCGTGTACAACTGTCACAAGTCATCACAAAAAAGCAAAACGAAACAACACCAAACAAGACACCAAAAACCAACAAAAAACAAACACACAAAAACACCCAAACCAAAAACACACAAACCAAACAAAAAAACACCCCACACAACAAAAACAGTGACGTGATAGGTTCCAGTTCATGGGTGACACGGATAATTGCAAGAGGTGATAACTTAGTATCATCTCAGTTCATGCAGATGACAGCTTGTGTGTCATGATAATAATGGCCCCAAAAAACACAAAACAAAGAGACGCGCCAAGAACAAGGGCCAATTCAGCGGGTGTAAGAAGCAACAAAGCTCAATGCCGAAACCAGGGATGCCCCCAGCCAGGATCCCCGAGATCACAAAGACCATATAAGATCTTTTGAAATTGGTACTGCAAGAAGGACATCACAGGCAAGTTAAGCTGACGGCCAATCGAGTCGACTTCGAAGCTAAGTGGCATCAACAAAAGCCTGACATCTCACAGATCCACACAGAAGTACCAGTCATCCATCAACCTGCATTTATTTTTCCGTCCAACGCCTTCATGGCTTACCGCCAGGTTTACAATCCATCAACCTACATTTACCACTCTACCGTCAAAACACCGCAATGTACCAGCAGATATGCAGGCGCTCCCAGCAAATACTGAACAGCACAAAACGGAGCACCACAAAAACGCTCCAAATTGAGTTTACCTCTGATCAGCAGTCCAATATACAGCAGTGCTCAAATCTTTTTTTCCGTCCAACGCCGGGTGGCTCTCGCCAGGTCGTTTATCAAGCCGGAAAGACAATACTGTCAAGGTCCCTTTATCGCAGCCATGTTTTGACCACTTTTTTCGGCCCTGTTTTAGGGGCCATGATGAAGCAGGTTTGTTGGCATTCGAGGCGCTCCAAGGCTTACCGAGGCCTGCCCGAGGCACGAGGACAAAGCGAGGCTCACGGGGACTCGAATCTATATACTATGGGGGTACGCCCATGCGTCACCGCAAAACTGCCTGTTTTGGGGCCCTGGTTTTGGAACCTCATTTTGCTCAATCTTGCGGCCGCTTCTTGCTACTTACATGGGGGAAGGTTTTGGCAGCAGCAGGTTCCGAGTCCTTTATGGTGGAGAAATCTATTGCAGGTTCTGATGCGCGAGCTGAACCACTTCAAGCAGCAGCGCAAAGCGTTGCGACAGGCATCTCAACTGTGTTGCTTTGGCTTGCAGATGCAATTCGTCACTGTTTTCTGATGTTGGCCCTCTTGAGACCATCGCGGAGAACAAGACAGAACAGAAATCGGCAGCAAAGCGCCGCCAGCGGTTGCTAAAAGCACCCCAGCAGCCGCCAAGCTAGGATGTGCGTTTTCCCACAGCGCGGAGCGTATAGTTGATGAACTTGGCCTACTATACCCTGAAAACCGTGGAAATTTGCGGAAAAACATGGCCAGCGTATAGCGTATAGTTGGTTCAATTCGATAAAAAAACCCTACTAAAAAAAATCTTTCTTAGAATGTGAGCTGACCGGCCAAAATGGATCTCACGCCACAGCGCGGAGCGTTTAGTAGGGTACTAAACCGTCTGGCCCGCAACACCAAAATTGTGTTCTCGCCACAGCGCGGTGGGTTTAGTTGCTCTTTGTTTGTACGATTATTTACAGATTCCATTTGTTTGCGTGACGGGCGCAGCACTTGAGAACCCCGTACGGCCATCTGAAAGGTTGAAGCGCGGCTGGATACTTTTATTTGACGCCTCCACATGGAGCAGTGGAAAGGTGGAAGCCGATGGTGCCAAGCACACACTGCCCTGTGGGTAGATCTCCTTCATTGGGGCCCAGATGAAAGATTTCCCTCATTTGCAGAGGAAACCAACAAAGCTATATTTCGTTGCTTGCCCCGTCCATGGAACAAAGCTGAAAAAATTGCAGTAGTGAACTCTTTCTCATCAATGTGGTTGGAAATCAACAGCGCTCTTGCAGCAGAAGGACAGCGCCCATCACAGTGGCAAGCCCAACCTGAAGCCTCCACCAAGAAAGATAAACGCGATCTTTGACCCTCAGCTATGATTGCTGTAGCCTCCCCTTTTTTCTTCACTGGAAGATTGGACTATCTACACACACACCGAAAGCCGGTGTGACGCCCGGAGATTTATCAAGTTGCGCCTCAATTCCAGCAAGTCGCTGCCACATTCGAAGCAGAACTCCCTGATGGACTTGGCTACGAAAGTTTGTTTTCGTCTGCTTGTGGCCGTGACGGGAAGTATGGCATGGCCGGGCGATTGTGCCGGAAGTGGTGCAACCGTTTTGCAAAGAAATTTTCTTTGATCCGTCGATTGCTTCCACAAAAGTCTTTGCTGTCCATTGAGAACTTTGAGGTCAAGGCTTGCTTGGACTGGAAGGTTAGTGCTTAGAGGTTTTTGCAAGAGTTTTTATGAGAAAACAACAACTTTTAAACTTTTAACTAGAACCGACAATGAGGTGTACAAGTCATTGACAGTCTCAAAATATTATTCATCTGTAAAGAGAACTCCGGTACCAGATCCTTTGCTGACCTCCTCCTATGGCTCGACCCCCCGTCGGGGGTGTTTGGGCGCATAGGTAGGTTGGTGGGAGACCAAGAACGTAACAAGAGCAGTTACTCCCACACGAAATTCGACATACACCCGAGAGAAAGAAGGCAAATGCTGAATAAGTGCCAGTTAATTTTAGCCACCGGAGGTACTGTAGCCCAGGATCTTACCATGCAATGGTCCACAATGGGTGGCTTCATGCAAGAGCTCTCCCTCCTGGTCATTGATGAAGGCCAGCAATATGGTACTGACCGGGAAATTGCAGTCATCAGCCTGCTGAGACAGCAACCCCTAGTCTTGTGGACAGGAGACTCGGAGCAAACACCCGGCGGCATTGATCGTGCAGCCCGCAACGCGAAACGATCACGACAGCTCCTGTTGTCCAAAAAGCATGGGCTGCGAAGTGACCGAAATTATTATATGCCAGCTAACCGTGCAGATGCAATGATCCGGCTGTTGGACGGTTCGGCCAATGAAGGCTTAGCTACTCTCAGTCAAATCCTCAAACGAGGCCAGCCCACGTTAGGTCAACTATGGACAAGCCAACTCTCGCCACAAGATACGGAATTATTCCCTTTACAAAACCACCCAAGTGTGAACCAGGGAACGCAGAACCAGAAGCTGGCAATGTCAAAAGACATATAATCTGACTCCACGTAAAGTAATATTAAACCAACCCTTCATATCTACATATATATATATATACATATATATAGTACATCATACGCAACTTCGGGAAACGCGCCAATGAAAACCAACGTGCAAAAAAATCCGACATGTGAGGTTTCCAAAAATCCAAGTGCAAAACTGACATGTGAAATTCTGAATCAACTGCAACTCAGTGAATGGTGGCCGCTCTTTCTTTTTCTGCAAGGGGGTCTATTCAAGCTCCAACCGGAATGATGGGATGCAACATCGAGCACCCGCCATCACAGGCTAAGGGTTAGGCAGCCACGGACGGAAATCCGTCTGGTATCTGAAACAGTTGCAATCAAATGTGAAGGCGTCGTAAGAAAATGTCATAAAGACGATGTTCAAGCCCACAAATGGCTCGAGTGCACATTTGTAAAAATCTTTGAAGTTCGGCATGAATCTGGTCCAAAAAGACCACGATGAAATGCCCGTCAAATCCCATGTCTTGCAGAAGGTCCACCGTTTCTTCAACGTGGCACTGCAACTGTAAGACTGTCATTCGAACTTTCGCAAAGAAAAGCAATTGACTGAGCAAGATTTGCAATCTCAGAACACTGGTGTGTCGTCTGGCACGTAACATGTAAGGTAGATATGGAAGTTCAAGAGGGTGGTTGTGGGAGGGTAGAACGCTTGAACCGCAGGACTGACATATACACAGATATTAGACCTACCCAGAGGAGTTCAGAACGGAGTTTCAGATTTCTCAGTGATTTGTTTCAACAAGTTTAACAAAACCTTGACAACCTGAGAAAGGAAAACGGAAACCACCAACTCTGGAAAAACAGCAGTTGTGGAAAATCAAATTTCGATTTGAAACAGTTGAGTTTTGGTTCACACTTGTTGGGTTTCTTTTGCCTCACAAAACAGGCAAAAGATTTTGTTGCAGGGAATAATGTTATCATCCTTGCAGGAGCGCTAACTTATTCCCTTTACAAAACCACCCAAGTGTGAACCAGGGAACGCAGAACCAGAAGCTGGCAATGTCAAAAGACATATAATCTGACTCCACGTAAAGTAATATTAAACCAACCCTTCATATCTACATATATATATATACATATATATATAGTACATCATACGCAACTTCGGGAAACGCGCCAATGAAAACCAACGTGCAAAAAATCCGACATGTGAGGTTTCCAAAAATCCAAGTGCAAAACTGACATGTGAAATTCTGAATCAACTGCAACTCAGTGAATGGTGGCCGCTCTTTCTTTTTCTGCAAGGGGGTCTATTCAAGCTCCAACCGGAAAGATGGGATGCAACATCGAGCACCCGCCATCACCCCCATCTGAGCCTGTGCTCGACTGCTTCCAGTGAGCATATGACCACGTCCCATGCGCACTGGCTGTGCTTAGCCCCACAAGCTTTCATGTCTTCAACATGTCCGCGGCTAGGGCCATCAGCTATATTTGAGTGGCTGCAAACTCTTCCAAACCACACCTTCCATTGATGTTGGTCTTCTTCTTGCACGAAGAGTTGGATCACAACGTTTCCAAGAAGGGTGGAGGAGTAGGCTTTGACCAAGGCCATTCGGGAGGCTTCGTTGTCAATGTACATCACTATGTACCTGCCAAACGTCTGTCCACCCCAAAGGAAGGCGGCAACATGCACCGCCAACAGCTCTACCAGGTAAATTGGATTTTCCGCCTCTTTCAGGAAAAGTTCCATCAGCAGGTTAGGGACCCGCTCACTGAAGTAGCTGAGTGCTGTGCCGGTGTGATCCAAGAGGACTCCACCAATTGACCCGATGCCTGTCTCCTCATCGAAGGCTCCATCGGTGAAGATAAGAATAGCCTGCTCCGTTGTGGCAGTAAGTTGAAGAGGAGCTCCATGTTCAACCCTGTGTCGGAGGAATTCCAAGGAGGTTCGTAGTTCCGCATCAAGTTTATGTCCCTGCCTTCCACCTTTAATCAAGGCTCTTTTTCCAAGTCGGTGAATGGCAAGGTTTGCCGTCCGGCCAAACAAGAAACTTTCAAACCACTGCACTCTGCCCTTGAATGACTCGGCCTCCTTCGGGGAAAGCTCGTCGGAGTTCAGGATTGCTGTTATTCTCTCCAACAATTCTGACCTGCGTTCAGGCGTGTGCTTTATAAAGACAACACCTTCGTCAAACCCAGCCAGGTCGAAGATGAGGCCCAGTGCTCTCATCTCGGTACTGAATGGTTGGTTTTTCTTGCCCTCCTTTGCGTACTGTATCCCAAGCAAGTCGAACAGGAAGCCAACGCACTTATCCGTCTGAGCGGCTTCTGCATCAGCTGCCATCGTTGGGAAGTCGTCAAAGAAAGCGCTGCACCATACCTTCAAGCCCACGCTCAAGACATAAAAGAGGGCCGAACTGACTCTGAGGAAACCAGCAACGCTACCCATAGCCCCGAAGGGGAGGCTATTTAAGCCATAGAGCTTTGCCTGGCAAGTGTTAGGATCGCAGATCGCTATCCTGAGGTGCTGGCGATCTGTAGGGTGAATTGGATACTGTTTATATGCCGCTTTAAGGTCGAATGTCTTACCTTTCAAAGCAACCGGATTCGACTTCTGATTCAAGACCAGCGCTCTGATCAATGAAGCTGCAATAAAATCCACCCCATGCAAAGTGAATTTCTCAGGCAATCCGCAAGCATCGTTCAAACCGCACTGCTTGAAGTTGTCAATTACTCTCACCTTTTCATTCTGCCTCAGACCAAACCGATGTGCAATGATTTTGTTGTGAAGGTCACCAGTTGTGTCCTCCCAGATCCATTTTCGCTCACATTCTGCTTGAGTCTCTTCCCAAGCGGCAAGGTGTAACTCAGCATCCTCTGGTTCTCTGACACGCTTGAGCACGGCTTTTTGCAAACCAAGGGAGGACTTAAGGAGGGCTTCCAAGGTTAGTTTTGGAGGACGGGGCAAGCTCATAAAAACCTGCGAATCTCTCATCCAACCTGACAATCTAAAGCCCGAAATTATGTCGCTGACGAGGTTTGTGTCTGGGAACTGCAGGTCCTCCAGCATCTCCTTGAAAACCAACAAACGCTTCCCTTGTAAAACGTGTCTGACATGTTCTCCCAGATCCAGTCTGAGATTTCGCTCATCCTTTTCTAACTCTTTCGCTCTTTTCACCCATTTCTTGAAAAAGGCTAGTCTCAGATCATCCAACCTGCAAGCATGATGGTTCAGGTTCGTCCGCAACAAGTCATCAAGCTGTTCCGAACCCGCGTATGGCAAGAATCTCGGATGCCCAACTTGTGCAGCCTTTTTCACAAAATCCCAAGGTTCTCTTGGGATTCCAAACGTCACAAGCTCAACCTTTGTCTCATTGTTAACATGAAAACCTTCCAAGTACTTCAGAGATTCACCAGTTAAGTCGGAAACCCGCTTGTCACCCCCAGTAAGAAGTTTCCGGTCGGTTATCCTAGCTCCTTTTGTGAGTTGTGGCAGAATGCAGCTTGCATCCATATCTGGCCTGACAGCAAATTGCACGTAATGACCAAACTCGCTGACCAAAGGCTTCAGCTTTTGACCTCTGGGAAGTAGGCCCATAGCTACTGAGTTGATTGCTGTAGTGCGTCGTTGTGCAATCTGCTGTGTTAAGGTTTGCGGTTGTTCAATGCCTTGCGCCTGCAAATCAGCAATTAAAAGCGCTGCCACTCTCTGACACAGGAGCTTTGGATACTCCGCTTCATCCTTTGTAGGATAATGGACACCATCAGCTGTCAAAGTCGGTGTCCATGGCTTGTGAGGGTGATCCCCTGAACAAGGTAAATTAAATGAAGAGAAAAATTGGTCATTGCACCACCAAGTTGTCTGTTTCTGTCTCTCACCGCCCATCATACAGTTGTGAAAAACATTGCAGTGTCCCGGATGAGCTTGCAAAAGTTCTTGAATAGGATCCGTTTTCCAAAAGAGGCTATTGGTGGGGTTTTCCATTGAAACTCGTATACCCAGTGAAATCGCCAGTAGGGCTAAATCCCTTGTTGCAAAGTACAGTTTATTGGCTTGTTCCACTTTATATAAATCAAGACCTGCAATCCCTGGGAGCCCCATTGGAAATTGTTCGGAACGCAACTGCTGTGGCGGAGTTATTCCGGAGTCTTTCAACTTCGCTTGCACTTCTGAAGGTAACTTCCTTTTTCTGGCGGCTGAACAGGTCCCACAGGGTGGTGCAAAATGAACCAAGCAAAGGTTAAGGGCCTCCTGCCGAATGAAATCCATCAGGAACTGCAAGTCTTCTGGCATGGTGAGGTCCAAAATTGTGATAGGCCCTTTCGCTCTCTCCGTACCTTTGTCGACAGCCACTCCACGCAAGTTTGTTTTGCGCACTTCGATTGTTAATGAAGAAGTTCCAGCGAAGACCTCCAAGAAAAGGATGTTTTCAAACAGAACCTTTCGAGTTGTGGCACCACTTGGATCTTCAGTGAAACGTTTTTCAGCCGTCTGTTGTTCAGCATCGCTTGAGTCGGTGACACCATCTTCCAACTGAGCGCTTTCAGGCGTGTTGGGCATCTCTTGCAACAAATTGTGATGTGAAACTGTCTCCGATTGATTCGCCTTTTGTCAGTGGGGGGAAGACTTCCCCGGAGCCGCTTTGCACTGCTGAAACGAATGACCTGTCTTGCGACAGAAGGCGCAAATGTGAACTCCTCTTCTGCATTTGGGAGGCTGTCCAGATGCCTCAAGGGAGCAGCCATTCTTCAGATTATACGACCAACAAATCGGCTTGTTGTCCGATGTATGCTGATAGCACCCTTTGAGCTCATCTGGAGGAGTAGGGGCTGTCCTATTCTTCTTGCTGGGTCTGGCCTTCTTCTTTGGCTGCACAGTGGTAGGTGTTGTGGCGGCAGTACTGGCTGGCCTCGTCTGCACTGAGGAAGCTGGCCCTTTGTTGGGAAGGGACAGCATGTACATTGTGATGCGAGGGTCATGCATCAGTTTCAAAATGGCTTCATCCAGCGGTCTCTTTCCCGTATTGTCTGGCTTTACAGTCGACAGCTCTCTAGCCAATATTGTCCACATTGCCTTGTCTGCTGACACCAGTTGTTGTAAGCTGATCTTTCCAAACCCCGGCGGAGGGTCTGTTGAGTAAGCTGCAAACATCGTGGCCAGCCATTTTTGGGATATATCCCAAGACACCATGTTGCACATCTCAAATGCCACGCCACTGCGCTGAAAACACCATTGTAGTTTAATCTCTGATCCATGGTCTGCATCATCTAGCTTAGGTCCATCCGTTCCAACCTTAAGCGTCTGTGACTCAATGCGAAGGATCTGGTGTGAGTCCTTTGGCATTGCTTGTACTTCTGCATCCCTCTTGGTGCACATTGATGGAGAAACCCAAATGATTGCTCCGGTGTCGTAAATGTTCTGGCACTTGTCCAGCAGCGCATGGGATGGTTCTGTTTCACCTTGAACCAGGAATCCAGGTATTTTGGTTCTGACCATCTCGTACCTAGCTTGCTTTTCTGCAAACGGCAACTTCTTTGAGCCATCTAAAGCATCACTGGTCACTGCTGTTTTCAACTGTGACAACAAATGTTGCTGCTTCAAAGTGGATTCTTCTCAGCACGCTCTGTTGCCCTGCTGTGAAACCACCTCCCAAGACCTGTGTTGAAAAGGTTCTGAACTCATCATCGGTAGGAGCTTTGTTGGGGGCTCCACACGCAAAGGCCAGCTCTGAGAAACATGAAATACTTTGAGCTTTCAGCAGTGTATGCAAATCCAATGTGGCGGTTGACAACTCTGCACAACGTTGCTTGAATGCAGCTTCAGAATCAATTAAGGTCATGGCTGCGCTGCACCACCGTTTCCCTAAAACAATGTTGAAGTCACCGATGACAACTGGAAATGACAAGGCACTGTTGAAATAAACTTGCGACCTTTCGCGTTTCAAGTCACTGTTAAAAATGGCGTTCAACAAGTTTATGTGTTTGGCGTTTCCGTTCCATTTTGTGCATGTTAACAAAACAATAGGCTCAACTATCAAATAGTTGACCCAATTCTTTTGGGTGTATTGACATCTCTGAAGTCTAACTGTCTTGACTGAGACTGGAGCCAAAGACCCACTTGAATGAATTTTCCACCGCAACCCCACAGGCTCGGATTCAATGGATCTCTGGCAGCACAATGTTGGGTTACCACACATTGCCCATATTTCTCCAAAATGACTCAAGAATTTTACTGACCATGTTGGGGGGGAACCACCCATGGTCACGTGTGCAACCTTCCTGCCAAACTGGATCACCACGTTTGCAAAAGGTTTCAAACTTAAAAATTTTTGGGTTGAGATCAACTGACTCAGCACTGTTGCAACCACCCGTGAATACGCTGGAACAACAAATGACCGGTTGGAAAAATCTCAAACCACCCCGGTCGAAATGTTGACTGGTGACATCTATTCAAAAGAGATTTCACACCGACTCAACATGCACCTACATTTTGCTCCATCGTTCGGCAAAAATCTCGTATGCTTTTAAGCCATCCTGTGCCTTCGGCAAACATGGCAAACGGCTGAATCATATCTAAGTTGTGCAGGCTCTGAAAAGTTCTTGTCCAACACCCGGCCACAACAAGTCCCATGTGGATACTTCGCATCAACAAGGTGAAGAGTCTTGGTCCTCTTATTCTGCATGAAGTGGAAACCTAAAGGTGCCGATGGTGGATAAAACATCCTGACAGGTGCATTGTATTCCACGCTCTCAGCTTCACTGTCTGAAGAAGAACTTGTAAAATGATCTTCCTCTAATTCTATCTGTCCATCTTCAACTGTTTGCACGGCATTGTCCAGCGCCTCATCCACTTGGGCGTCCAATGCAGCACTCTCGACATCACTCTCAAGAAATGAGACTGCACCAACATCCAATGAAGGGTCTGGCGCATAGTTCTTGTTGAACCTCCCAGCCCTCGTTGTGTCAGGATCAAAATATCCTGCCCTAATTTCCAGCAAAAGTTTATCAATCAAACGGATTGTCCTTGCTTGTGCGTCCCTGGCATAGGTGTCAGCCATCCTAAAAGGATGTGCATGGTGCCCCATGGCCAACCTGTCCTCGTGTTTCAAACCCCGCTTTGCCGCCATCGAAAGAATGGTTGCTTTGAGTGAATGTGATGAGATCTGCCGTGTGCTTTCACTACGTTTAACGTTTTCACCCAGCATCAGTCTCAGCCATACACTTGCCTCATCACTCTCCAAGGCCCGTTGAAGAGTTGTACCATCTTCAGCTGGCGCTGGCATCAACGTCTTGCCGGGCTCATTCGAAAAAGGATCAACACCAATATTCTTGAGTGCATCTATCCAACCCCTCACCCAATCATCTCCAAAAATTCCACTGCCAGACGCGACCAAATCCAAAAACTTGAACTTGTTTGCAGTTGCTTGCATGGTCTTATGGGTTTGCACCTCCATGTCCACGTAGGCCACTTTGCCGGAAGATTCCAGCACATCAACTCTGATGCAATTACCGTGAATGAAATCACTCCATCTTGCACGTGCGTAAATGCAGAAAAGAGCAGCCCCACTGAACACTCTGTCCCAAGCATCCCCATTATCCAAACATGTATGCAAATGCCAAATGTCTGCAACTGTCAAGGGTGAAGCTTGATTCAACTTGTTTGCAAAATCACTCCCAGTGGCTCCCAAACAACGCTTGCTGACCGTGATCGGGTGGAGGTCGCTGATGTCAAAGGAGTACCTGCAAAAGGTAACAGCTTCAAGAATGGACTTCAATCGGCTAGTGCGGTTGCCAGTTGAATGCAAGGTCTTAATGATCCTGTACATTTCTGGTTCTCCAAGGGGCCAAAAGAATCCCAACTGTTGTAGGGTGGTATGCAAAAACACCATACTGTTTGCACGTTTCAACAGGGTTGCCGGCGCTTTCCCTGTCAGGTAGTCTCCAAGCAAGTTCATTGAATCATTCACTGTCGGGCATGCCAAAAGTTCTTGTTTGCATTTCCACCACTCATCTGGCCAATTTCTGACAATAGTGTCCCATTTCATGAGAGCTCTTTGCAACTCAGCTTCTCGCTTCTCTGTCCAAACCTGGTCTTTCCTTCTGGAAACTGCCACCATGAACAAAGGCTTTGCGAAATCAGAACTGGAAACATCTGGTTGTGAAACTAAATTGTCAGAAGGCTTATCGTGAATCAGCTTCGGCACTTTGAGCTTGGGCTCAAACTGAGGTACAAGCGCATCCAAGGAATCGTGGTTAGGGTCAAAAATGCAGGCCCACTCATCTGACTCCCATGGCAGTTGTACTGGTGATTCAGCAACGTTACGCATGGCATGTGCAAGCAAAGACTCAAAATTAAAAGTGCTCGGCTGTCCAGCTTCATGTGAGGGTGCACCAACGGCGACTTCAGGTCCAGACTGTTGAGGCCCAGGCAGCAGTGCTGTATCTAGATCCAAGCCAGTCTCTTCTTCAGCTACTGTCTGTAACGCATCATCCGAACCAATTAAGTTGTTATGATCAGAGTCATCCAAATAAAATGAATCCATCTCTGCACCACGACAACATTGCAACACCCCCCAGCTAGAACGCTTGAACCGCAGGACTGACATATACACAGATATTAGACCTACCCAGAGGAGTTCAGAACGGAGTTTCAGATTTCTCAGTGATTTGTTTCAACAAGTTTAACAAAACCTTGACAACCTGAGAAAGGAAAACGGAAACCACCAACTCTGGAAAAACAGCAGTTGTGGAAAATCAAATTTCGATTTGAAACGGTTGAGTTTTGGTTCACACTTGTTGGGTTTCTTTTGCCTCACAAAACAGGCAAAAGATTTTTGTTGCAGGGAATAATGTTATCATCCTTGCAGGAGCGCTAACGACCTCAGAGCAGCCAACACTGTTCTTCCAGGCCTGAGAGCTCAATTTGAAGCCGCCCAGCCGCATGTGCACCGGCACTCCCGCTTCGTGGACGCAGAACTGCTGGAAGGCACGACAGTCAACTTCCCGCGATCCCTGGTACGCCTTGCCTGGATCTTGCAGCATGCCGCCACCCTCCTCCCGATGGCTGGTGACATCCAAGCAGTCTTAAACTCTCAGACCGCCGGAGTGAGCGACATCCATGCCTGGGGGTTGATGCTCCCTTCCAGTTCAAGAGTTAGTCCTGTGACATACCACTCAGTCGTGGCAGTTCGGTACCCCGACCTATGCAGATGTATCAACGGCCTGTGGGAGCTGGGAAGTTTCGCCTCTGGAGGACTCCCTGACCGACCACCGGGGTTTCAATTAGTTCTTTGGGACACCAATGCTAGAATTAATGGCCTAGTAGCAACAGACTTAGAAACGCTCGTCTCAGAGGTACTCCACCCATTCCCCAATAATGCTGGATTCGCAGATGGGCTTTTTGTAATGACCACGGCAACAGATCACAAAAACAACTTGAACCGTTCCGTGCTTAAGAAGGATTACGCCCGCACCCTGCGCGTAGAAACAATAGCCAACTCAGCAGGAGGAACAGCACAGGTATCAATCGTAGCTCAGCCAAGTATCGGATTCTTAAACACCAAATACTACTCCAATGGTTCCCCTACAGAAGATACCGAAGACTGCCTCGGCCGAATCACTGTCGGACTCACCCGGTCCAAATCGTTAACCCTGCTTGTCTCCCCGCTAGACATGATGGGGCTCATGGGCATGGCGCAGGTGATTGCGACCATTGCATATGGCATCCGGGGCCTCCGAAGAGGAGAAACGACATGGGGGTGGCCTGACTTTGATGCTGACCCAGCACAAGAGAATCTCGCACAGTTAAGCCGGTGGTCACTGAATTCAGCGCCAGCTTGGGAATTCCCTCCCCTCGCAATCGCCAACCAATACCACGATCAGCAAGCGAACGAAGTGAAGCGGGCGAGATACCGTCTAATATTGGTGCGGGGATCAGACCTTCGCTAGCTAAACAGAGAGCGCCTCCAAGAAGTTAAAACAGGCTTAGCAACTCAACATAAATGGCTCCCCGAGCAGACTCTCCCGTTCTCTGAAGTCGTCCTATATGCCTACGCGGCTGATCGCACACCCTTTCCCACCTACGTGTGCCTGCCTTCAGGACTGTACAAAGCCCGCACCGGGCAAGTTGTAGCACAGACTGGCCCAGAGCAGGAAATCCTGTCCCTGCCTGCTATATACTTCTTTGATGGATGGCGGGTACACCCTACGTTGCCAATCCCAGACCACCTGCCACGCGCGAAAGAGGCGCCAGTTCAAGATATCGCTCTGACTGCACCTGCACCTGGTACAGAACCCAAACGGTCGCCTGAAGAAGAAGCGAGAGACATCCTGGCAACAGCTGCCAAGAATCAGCCCGAAGATGGGCCAAACACAAGGAGAGCAGCAGTCCGCGCATGCAAGTACTTAAGAGCCATGGTCAACCAATATGAGTCCACCATCCAAGCAGTGCATATAGCAGCCCGCACCCACACACAAAAAAGCAAGGGCACCCGCAAGGAGAAGCCCTCCCAGTCATCTCCTCAGACCTGACTTCTGAATTACTGCATTGCTTGTCCACGCTTCCAGACCCATGGCCCCTGGCCAAGATCACCATCGACATGGAGAAACCGAGCCAGTGGGTCTCCAAGTTGTGCAGACTCTACTTTCCTGACGAATATGCCAGGCGAACGGTCGGACTGCCCTCACGCAAGCATGTCCCGGACATTGCGGGCGCGCTTCGAGCGGTCCAGACCATCCTCCCCAAACTCGAAGTCAAAATGATTCAATTTTTAGCTGAATGGATGGTTACTCTTTTAATGCCAGCATCGCACGTACGGAAGTGAGGGCACCTCACCTTTCCTTTATGATGCTCAAGGAATACTGGTTTAGAGAGCTGTACCTAGGCTTGAAAGTCACAGCATCTTTCGACCGCTCCGAATCATACACCAGAGTGTTCGAAGGTAAGATGCATCACGCCCGAAGTCAAGCCGCAGAATTTGCAGGTCATCTGGAACACAGTTTTCGTGCCGGCATGGATGATCCCGCCCGTATACCACAGCCTACGCAGAGAAAGCATAAAAACCGCAAGTTCCGCCAATCCCATCCAATCCCATAGGCGTCCAGTCGGTCCGCCCCACCTGGTTTGGAGACCCAAGGATACCGCACTCTAACCCAATCAAGACCCTCAGGAACAGCAGCCCAGCCACTGCACGGGCTCAAATTAGTTATCAAAGAAGAGGTGCTGCCGACGAATGACCAACCAGAGTTCGCTCGAACTGTTGGCTGCCAGAGGCCGTTTAGCACCTGACACGTGGAAGTGCAAACGTGCACAGGTTAGCCTCAAAGCAACCATTGATGTCCCTATGCTGGGCACAATCATAGAGCAAATGGTGATGGACTCCTTGAAGACTCCCACATGCCCGTGGGATGGCCATTGCACATTGATGGTGCTGTCAGACAATGTTGTATTCATCGAGCCGCTAGTCTGCAAGAATCAGACGACATGCTAAAGAACATGACATGAAAAGAGACTCAGTTGAAATCAACCATGACGCACCTCAATGGTCCTACCATGCAGTATGGAATCGACGGTACTGAGGAGGTACACACATTAGTCTCCAGAATCACAATATTTTCTGAGGCTTGAATTGGATTCAATGAGCTCCCCCTGCCCCCAATGCCAATGTTGACACAGATATAAGCAGCTGTGTCTGAACCAACAAGCTGAGAAGACCGGCGGAGTAATTCCAAGAGGCGTCCACATGCTTCAGCCAATAGGGAAGAAGTGGAGTAAATATGGAGTAGACCATCCGCGGAGTAAAAAATGCAGAAATATATGGCAGGCCCAATACAAAATGCGTGGAGTAATTTCGGCCCGGTTTAAGAATACACTGTTATTTTATGGTGGACTAGAATTACTCCACGGCCAGTTCAAGCAGGAAGAAACACACACAGACACACCAGGCGTTAAGAGTCTACGGGGGTGGAGGGGTTGGACGCCCTACTACCCCCTGACATCTCATAGCCGAGCCTTCACTCTTGGGTTCTGCGACTTCTGCAACTTTTGGAATGTCGACAGCACTCGGCCTGGCAAGAAGGACGGGTGCAGGGCATTGTCAACCTTCAGGTGACCTGTAACATCATCATATGGTCTCTTCTACTTAGCGTGTGAAGCTGCAAGTGCCCAATGTCTCAACTCTAAATGTAGGAAGGCTTCCGCACTTGAAAAGATGTGAAAAATCGAACGCGCCGGTGCGGGATCTATCTAAGAGGCCTCCCGTTTGCACAGCATCCAACATTGAAATTCTGGGGCAAGGGGAGACACATCGAGTAAAGATGAAATCTAAAGCCAGCAGCCAGACTACAGACACAGTAGTTGCTGAGTGGCAAACTTCCTGTGAGACACATGGACCTGCCATTCTCTCTCAAACATTGAGGTCTGTACTAAAGCTTCCGGCAACAAAAGCAAGCATCAACCCAACGGGAAAAGACTCGAGAAAAGCGCGTTGGCTGCCAGTACTCTAGCATGCTGTGTTTTCATATGTACAAACCCCAAACAAACTCAGAATACGCGTCCAATCAGACAGTTTACAATGGCAGGAACACTTCAAGTGGCAAAGCTCTGGCATGCTGGTTTTTCATATGTACAAACCTCAAGCAAACCTTCTTCAAACCTCAAGCCTATGGGGCCGGACCATGCCATCAGGTGCGACAGGATTTAAAGGAAAGTTCAATTAATTTCTTTTTTTGCACGCGGCAACTGTAGATTTCCTCCGCTGCCTAGAATTGAAGTTAGATTGGGGTTTGTACACATGAAAAAGCAACAGATCGAAGGTGTGGTCATGGCATGGCTTTCTCCAATAGAATGCGGGGCACAGAGATGTTTTCAAAGAATGTCTGGCGTTTGTACATATGAAAACACAGCACATCGAAGGTGTCACCAAGAAAGTACTCATTCCTCAATGAAATGAGCTGCGTGCATACATTAACAAGGTTTGTTTGAGGTTTGTACATATGAAAATACAGCAGAAGGAAGAGGAACAAAGCGTTGCAAACAAACGGACGGGTAAAGAATAGATGATCAAGACGTACGGGAAGCGAGGTGTATGCAGATCCGCCTACATGGAATTTCCGGGTGCAAGCATGCGACTCCAACTACATAACCTTGAAGCAAATCCAGATCATTGACACGCTTGTCGCCAAATTTCGTAAAGCCCACAATGCCACGCCACGGCATGACACTTTCAAGACGCCAGGACAAGCTTCTCCAAACCCCAGCAACTTTGGAGACACTTGGAAGTACCTCTGCAGTTCCGTTGCATCGCCTTGAAGCCTGGAAGGCAGCATG